GTAACAAAGAGAGGGAAGCAAGTCAGAACTGAGGAAATCGAACTACCAGAAGGCAACACTGCAGACAATGAGAACAGTACCTGGGAATCCCACACAAATGGGAATCATGAAGAGGCCGGTAGGAATGCTGCAACTACCAAATACCTGCAGAGAGTAAGGCACGTCCTGAGGAGTTGGCTGAATGGGAAGACCAAGATCAACATCTACACCCTGCCGATCGTCAGGTACACTGCTGGGATAATAAGCAGGCTAACGGAGGTGATGCCTCTGACATCAAGGCAAGGAGGTTCCTACCATGCATGGAGGGTTTCACCCCAAGTCTGCACCCTGAAACTGTACGGTAAGTGGAAGCAGGCCAAGGACTAGTGAGTGTCAGAACCACTATCCACGATGAAACAGCAAAGATTCATGAGTACTACAACTGATGTATGAAACCTGAGAAAGAGATAGGCCCTGCATGGCAGGGAAAGAAGTGGCTGATATCAAGAAATCCTACTAGTGGCTGGACCAAGCTGGACTGAAGGACAGCACAGAGGCACTAATCATGGCTCTAAGCACATGGTCCTTAAAGGCTGCATCTACAATATCAGGCAAGACCCCAGATGGAGGCGGTGCAACACTTTCTCTCTGTCTCCATCTCTCACATATAAATGGTGAATGGTCTGACTGTCATGTAGCACTTTTCTACTCTCCCAGCGCACTCAAAGTGCTTTAAATACCATCATCATTTCTCACGTACACTATATTGCCAAAAGTCAAATTCAACAGGCAGCAGCTGGAACCTGAAAATGCTTAAAAAGGTTTTCACTTTTTTTCTCCTCTGACTAGAAACAGGATGTCTGACCAGGTCATTTGGTTCAGAAGACCCTGCATCGTTACACAATAAACACTTTTCCCCCACAACACTGCTGGTTTTGGATTTTCAGTTGTGTTTGCATAGATAAGAGAAGATTGAAAAGAAGAGCTGAGTGGTTTAGAGACGTTATACCAGTGTGTTCAAAAACAGACTAGAGACTCCGGTCCCGAACATGAATGTTTTTTGTGTGTGTGTCAGACTCAGGACTGTCTGGACAGCCTCCAGGTGATGAAGCTTCCTATAAACATGCCAGCGAGGAAGATTATGATGAGGCCGTAGCTGTGAGAGCTCATTGACGACACCCTCTGGATGGATGCAGCTGCTAACTCTGAGAAGCTGTTGATCTGTGGACATACACATACATAGTCATTGCTTCCATTTGTGCAACATCAGTCACTAATGGTTTACTGTTCAAGATCTGTGTAACTTATAAACATACTTAAAAGTAAAATACATAAATACAACAACAAAATAAAATACTGTATATATGACCACAAAAAATTAGACTGAAAAATCTCCTTTAGATCAGACATGTCAAGGTGCCCACGCCGAATAGATCTGTATCAACCTGTGACTGAAATTCATACGTGAATTATTAATGTATGAACTATACAGAGAGAAAGCATGCCAAAGCCACACCATTCATACAAGTCCCATAATGCAGTGCAGCAGCCGCTATGCAGATGGGGATTGTGACATCATCAATGCTATGCATTATGGGAATGTTTTTTGTCCAACTTAATAATGGAATACAGACAGAGGCTGCGTTTGGGCTTTAAACTGTGAACATTAGTAACTGATAACAATGGTGACATCACCACTTATGGCTGAGTATAACTGGTTTTATGGACCTGACTCAGATTTGTGTGCTTTTCAGCTTGGAAGCAGCAACAAGGAGCTGGTGAAGCAGCTGGAAAAGGGAAAAACAACATGTCAGACAAGATCT